CCACACCCACACCCACACCCACACCCACACACCCACACCCACACACCCACACCCACACCCACACCCACACCCACCTACACCCTGCAGCTTATATTTTATTGTTGATCAACAAAGAGAAGCTGGAGGAGTAGTGTTACCGCTATCCTCGGTGTAAGATGTTCACTCCACCACTCATTACTTCAGTTCTGTTCACTTTACATAGAACACGACCTTATATAGGAGAGAGAAATACGAAGAGAGAAATGATGAACAGAGAACAGTGTAAGCAACAAGTACGATCGGTCACTGAGGTCATCGTGTCTAGAAGAATAGTGACCGGTTGACCTTATACGATTAAGTGGATAACAGATGAAGACGAGATGTGCCCTTACTATTGGCACAGCTAGAAGACACCATTGCAAGAATATCAAAAGATTAACAATTCGACAGAAAATAATATCACTAAAATTTTTTTCTGCCATTCGATGGTCTATTACTACCATTTACTCCGTGTAGTCCGAAAACAATTTGATAGATGGTGATAGCGACTGTAAGCATTTAAATTCATTATACAAAACTGTTCAACATTGATTCTATCAACAATTCTAGATAAAACAAAAAGCTTCTCACATACTTCACATTACTCTTATTTAGCAAAGCTCTCTGAAGGATGATAATAGTTGATTTTAATTTATTATTTCTTGATGTATTGACAATTGTTTGTCAATCATATTCGTAACGCAACCCAATAAAGAATGAACATTGAATCACAAATAGCAAATTGTTTTTAATGAACAAATAAAATAATCTATTCATTAATATAGAAGAGTAAATCTCTTCAATGAAAGTGTGGAACAATCGACCTCTAAACGTAGAATAATAAATCTTTTTATAACAAGAAATAGAGGGATCAATTCCTAAACGTTTATTAATAAACCTGTTCAAAGAAGTGGTAGAAGAATCTACCATTCGGCGTACAATAATGGGCTGCTTATTCGAAAGGTAGCATACTCTTCCTAAAAAAGAAGAGTGATATACCCATTTAATCAAAAAGTATTATAATAAATCCGAAAGAGAATAATAAAATACCCTTATCTTGGACGCTTACAATAATATACTGGTATTGGTTGAACAGCATACTCTTATCATAAAATTCTGGAATAACAAACCCTCGTATAGTTATATTATACCCTATGATATTTGATAAACCCATAGTTTGATAAACGTTTCGAGTGTCAAACTCTTAAAGGGTTGATAACATTGACTTAAACCCTTAAAGGGTTTATTGCCAAAATTATTAAGGGCAAGGGTTGATTATTATGCGGATTTTTTTTTCTGTGTGCTTGGTCACATAAACACAATTCTTTTTGTTTAACTTTTATGTATGAAAGTTTCATAAAACCATTCCTTTTATTAAACTTTACTATGTTTTAAACTTAAATGAACATCAATTCAACTTTTATATATTGAATACTATGACAAAATGCATATTCTTGTAGCTGAATACACTGCCTACTCCATTATGAAAAGATTAATCTCCCTTACATAATGTGTTTTAAATGCTTGTTTGTTAAAAAAACCTGTTAGCGCAATCCCTACGGGATTAAAATGTGAAACACAACATAACCGTTTTCGCTGTCGGCCACAGACTGCGACGGTATTCCTTAGCTGTGGTGTCGGTCACGGGCTGTGATAATCTGCTACAATCAAAATGTACTCGGTGACCTTTAACCCCGCTGATTACCGCCTGTTATGGTCGTTTCCTATCGAAATGTACTCGATGACTTTTAACTCCTCTCGGTCACGGTCTGTGATGCTAATTAGAGCTGTCGGTCATGGTCTGTGATGCTAACTATGGCTGTCGGTCACGATCTGTGACGCTAATTTTGGCTGTCGGTCACGGTCTGTGACGCTAATTTTGTGTTGGTCACGGTCTGTGGGGGGGGGGGGGGGTGGATCCAAATTTCTACCCCTAAACACTTCAACACTCTCTTTCAGATCGTGTTTCACGAAACAAACAATATCACACAAGGACTATATTTTAAAGCGATTACAACTGAAATTTGAGAAAGATAAGTCAGATTCTCATTCAATTCTGCTAATTTTTCAGTTGTTTTGACGAAAAAATCGTCTCTAATCAAAATAAACTTATTCTCTAAATGAATAATTGAAGTTTAATTTGTATGCAGCTTCATGTGAAGTGATTGAGTCTTTGGCATAGTAGTTATGATTAGAGATCGTGTAGCAATGCATGTCTGGTTCACTTTTGAAATTGAATTGAAATTTTCACGGCGCCAGGAAGGGTGATGAGGACATATCTCAAATGAGGGTGTCATAGAGGGTGATAAGATTTATATCTTCTAGCGCCCTGCGATTTATTTTTGAAAAGAATTATAGCAAATTTCAGAAACCCTCTGGTCAATAAGTGTAAATTGTTTCTTTTGAATAAAAACTACAGCAACATTTTATTCTAGATTTTCTTCTTCTCTACATTCTTCAACTGAAATGGGTAGCGATGCCTCAAAATCCGATGGGAGTCGAAGTTCCGACAGTGAAGGTTCGAAATGTGAGATGAATGTCAACGTTCACGTCAATATGCCCGGATCGGTAGCAGGAGGTGCAAACACGAACGTTCACATACCTGATGAAATCAAGAAACGTTTTACGTCATCAACTCCAGACAAGAAATGACATGAGTACTCTCCTCTTCATCTACTCGTTTGTTCCTTTTCAAAAACATTTTATTTCACTTTTGTTAACTTTCTGTCTCGTATTCCGAAATAACCAAGAAATCTCCTTTTTTAACATCGCCACTTGTAGCTTCATATGCTAGTTGCAAATTTCTAATTTGTTCAGATTTTTTCGGAACGAAATTCCATCCGAAAGTAAAGATCGAAGTATTAGAAGTTCAAACTTTTTCTATAAACTAAAAACTAGTCTCCGGAAAGCGATCTGTTTTTACTACCATCTTGCAACAGGTTGCTTAGTTTTTCCCTGGTAATTTTTGTGTCCACATTTCCCAGGAAAAGATACGAAAAAAAATTCATGTGGAAATTTTTTTCTCAATAATTCTGAATTGAAACGCGAAACATTTGAGGTTGATTGCGAATTTATATTGATGCATCCTTTTTTGAAAAACGAAAAAATGATTCTTCCTTAGAAAAAGTCATTTTCGCGCACCTAGAAAAAATATTTTTTTAATATATGGGTGAATGCATGAGGGCCCATCCACTTTTTGGAACGGTTTTTTTTTTCGTTTTTTTTCAGTTTAAAATATTGATCTCGACTAGAAAACACTTTTGGTTAAAAAAAATTAAATATTCTCTATTAAAAATTCCTAGTTTTCGAGCATTTTCTCGGACCACCTATGCTGTATTTTTATATATAGAAAAAATGTCGAGAAAAAGCGTGAAACGTCTTTAAAAGCATTTTTTTCGGAATTTTTTTGTTTTCAGAAATGTAAACAAAGTCTAGAAACATGTTTCCTGTGAAACATCAGACCAGTTCCATTGAAGGTTTTGAAGGCTCAGGCATTTTCTCTGAACATATCAATAGCTATACTTCATCAACTTAGATTGTATTCAATTAAATTGAATAATTTTTATTTTCTTCTACTCATGAAATACAACAACTTCCATGACACTATCCTCATAGAACAAAATCGTACTAACGACTCTGCCCTGATAACTAGAAAGATTTGCTGTTATACCGTCTACCAAAAATGAGACCATGGAATCGAAAGAGACATTATTATCGAAATGATAGATTTCCCATTTCTCTTTAAGGACATCTTTAGATATAGAGTCTTTTTCACAAATGTTGTGACTTCACACGAATAAGATTACTAGATGAATCATTGGGTATTAGAAAATATCGACTGCCCATCAGTGCTTCTTTATTTTTAAAAATCTATTCCAATGCCACGACGAAAAAATTGTGAACATCCGATAAAGCATGAGAAATCTGAATGTGTATCAAAAGGAGTAAAAGGCTGTGTCATCCGAACTATCGAAATTTTTGATCAGTCAGTATGATGTAGCTTTTACCCGAATTAGCTGGTTATGTCCAAGATGTCATACATTTGAATCGAAGAAAATGATGACTCATCAATCAAAGAAGGTCAACGACAATGAAAGTTCAAGTGATGATGAATCAATTACACAAGGTTTCCCTGTTAATGATGACAAAAACGATGATAATTCTGTCAATGTAGAATTCAATGATCTGAATGCAGAAGAGAAAGAGAATCCTCATATGGACAGTGGTATCATAGCTGAGTCAAATGATGATGATGAATCACCACGTGATGATGAAACAACTGATCCTGAATCAATGGATGAAGATAAATGTCATGCTTTCTATGAAATCGAACACCAAAAAGACAAAGTAATGGAAGAATTATCAATTGTATTCGAATTATTGAACATAGATCCGATCCATGACAGGTTAGCTTGTAAATTTAATTCGAATTTTCTGAAACGACATTTGTATTTAGATCAGCAGTATTGCCCATTCGAGCCAAAGTCAATGAGGTGTATAGAAAACTCAATCGGTTATGTGACATATTAGATGGCAAGTCTCAAGTTTTGCACGATCCAAACCCTCATGGACTAATGATATGTGAATCAAATGAGTTTTTGGATGGTTTGAAAAAGTTATATGGTGATAGTGATGCTAATGAACAAGTTCGATTAATGACAATTGCTCCCAAAAAGTCGGGTCGACAAAAATTGAAAAATGATGCGTATTTTATCCTCATATCGTTCAATATCCTCGCATTTTTTCAATAAAAAAATGTTACTAAAAATTTCTTTCACTTATCAGGTTTGAGTCAAGGCCAAATCAAGCTCGACGATCGCTCGTTCTTCGAAAAAACAATGGAATTTTAGCTTATCCACAATGCCTACGGGGAAGTAATCGTCCTTTATCTGACTCAACAATTGATGCGATGGTAAAGTTCTATCGAGAAGATGGTATCAGTTGGACTTCATCCAATTCCAAAGACACAATTAAAATCAACGGACAACCAGTAGCAATTCTGTTTTTAGAAATGACTGTCTTAGATGCCTACCAAATATTCAACGAACGTCATCCTGATACTGTTTCAAGGTCAATTTTCAATGCTCTTCATCCAAAAGAAGTGAAGACTGCAACACCACATGACACATGCATGTGTATTATTCACGAGAACATGGATCTGTTATTAAAGGTTTGTATCAGTTATTTATTAATGCGAATGTAACGTAGCTTGATTATAGACTTGGGACAATTACTACCCAGAATGTGCCGATATAGGTTCTTTCTCAACTGGTGACAAGGTCAATATAAAGGATCTGATCACTCAAATAGTTTGCACTATTTCGAACGAAAAGTGCTTTAATGGTGAATGTGATGCTTGTCCAGAAGAAAACATCGGAGATATTCTCATTGATAGCATTATGTTGGATTTGGATGACGAATGTTCATGAACTTTATGGAAGGAAGTCAATAATAAGTTCGATCTTCAGCAGATGTCTGGCTCGGTTGCCTCTCTATTAACGGAAATTGAGGAAAGATGGTCTTCATTCTTGCTTCAAACGCACATTAATCGTGAACAACGTGAATATATCCAACACTTACGCTGTCAATGAGCGGAAAATACTTTCGCTGTAGTTCAGATAGATTTTTCTGTGAATTATACGCTTGTTCGTCAGCGTGAAGTTCAACAAGGATTTTTCAGTCAGCATCAAGTCACCTTATTTACAATTCATCTGACCATCGGAAAAGAACAAAGAAACCTCGCAATCATCAGCAATTATATGGAACACACAACAACATTCGTACACTGCACAAAAAATTCTCGTTCAATTCATCAAGAAAAACTTTCCATTCGTAAAAAAGATCAATTATGTGAGGTAAGCCTTACTTTTCTTAAAGTTTATGTGCTACGTCAACTCTCTTTTTTCGTTTAGTGATGAGGCATGTGCCCACTTCAAGAACAATACTAGTATTTTGAACCTGATTCATCATAAAATGGACTTCGATTTGGACGCTTGTTGGACGTTCACAGCTACAGGTCATGGTAAAGGTGCTGGCGACGGTACAGGTGCCGTACTGAAGTCGGTCGCCAGACGTGCTACACTTTTCAAAAACATTATCATGTCAAATGCAAAAGACTTCTACGAGTTCTCACAAAACAGCAACTTGAGACAGCAAGAAGATCTAACAAAGATATTCCTGGTGTTCATACCTTCTTTCTTGAATCAGATGAAGTAGAAGAAGCGAAGAACAGTTTTTTGAAAGCTAGAAGTGAAAAACTTCGAACAACAGATGAGAAAAGCTTTTGCTTTTACTCCCTTATGTCTGTATTAACTTAGGTACAATACAAGGAATTCGAAGTATGCATGAATTTAAACCAATTAGCAACTCAATGGTTCGATATAGTTTGACATCTCGTTCAACAAAGACCAGGACATTTACATTTAAATAAAAATCCTTTTTCTATCTTTTCTAGTTGATCAGATTTTTTAAAATCAGACTTGACGATGATACTTAATATTCAAATAGATTGAACAGCTCTCTTCATTACCACCTTATACTACATTTCTGTAGTCTCAGGTTCATGAATGCATAGAAAATGCCTGAGCCTTCAAAACCGTCAATAGAACTGGTCTGATGTTTCACAGGAAACATGTTTCTAGACTTTGTTTACATTTCTGAAAACCAAAAAATTCCGAAAAAAAATGCTTTTAAAGAAGTTTCACGCTTTTTCTCGACATTTTTTGTATATATAAAAATACACCATAGTTGGTCCGAGAAAATGCTCGAAAACTCGGAATTTTTAATAGAGAGTATTTAATTTTTTTTAACCAAAAGTGTTTTCTAGTCGAGATCAACATTTTAATTTGAAAAAAATCGAAAAAAATCTTTCCAAAAAAGTGGATGGATCCTCAGGGATTCACCCATATTTTCAGTCGACCTTGACCTCAAACTTTTTTGCGTTTTAATTCAAAAATTTTCCACATGAATATTTTTTGGCCAAATTTTTTCTGTTTCTACTTTCTCCACTGCTTATATTTGATTGATAAGCTAAAAACAAGTTTTCGGAAAAGACTCAACTTAAAATATTTTTTTCAAGCTGTAGATATTCCTAAGATCCTTCTATTTCTAGATATCAGAACACACAGAACAAAAAACATGGGTTCATTTTCATCCACGACTTTAAATGATGATAGTATCAACGATGAAAGCAACAATGGAGATACAATGGAAGTGTATGTATTATTCAAAGAACTCGGCGATAAGAAATATTCACGTAGTGATGTTGTTTCCCATCATATCGTTCTCGTGAAACACAACGACGGCACATTTTACTTTACGGATCTGGATGTAGATAGTAAAGGTGGGCCATGTCAGTTGCATTTTGACAAATACAAATTTCTAGACAGCAGGCCGATCTACTATAAACCATTTGGCCGTACGAGAAAAAGTCTCAATGAAATCATTCAATGGATCCAACAACATAAAATGGCTGGTATTCCCTATAAAGTCGGGGTCGACGATTGCCGACGATACGCAGCTGAAGTTATCGCATTTCTGAAAACGAAATTCACTACCCGTTCAGAGAATGCGGCATATGCCGAAACCGACCCAACAGCTCAATACCTGGTTCGCCTGATAGATACTACGATGAAGACTGCAGACTCTTCCTCAGATCTAAGTTTATCTTGATTCTATATGTTCTATTCTTTATTTTCCCGACTGTAGAAGAGGGTCATATGGAATAAAAGAAGGTTTTTATATCTGTTTGCTTGTTTGTATTGTGGCAGAGATGTGAAACATACTGCTTTAACCCAAGGTTTTTATAATTGAGAAATCAGTTGATACAACTAACTTTTCATCAAAAATTATTTTTGACTTGTAAATTCATTTTTTCTGCCCAGGAATCGATTTAGGTGCCAAAGCTAGGGGTGCACAGTTTCCGTTTCCGTTCCAATAACGACTCAGAAACGGAAACTGTGCACCCCTTACCAAAACATTAGTTTTTGCCGAAAAGTCTTTATTACCAGCCTCATAGCGCTAGAGATGCAATAGTGACTTATCTACTTGATCTGGGTGCAATGCTTCATTAGCCCAGGCTCACTACTACTACGCATCGGCTGTAGTAGTCAGCAAAGACTTGTTGGCTGGCGAAAAGAACACGTGTTCGAAGAACGCAATAATGTTCTCCTCTTTCTCCTAGCATTACCCATATGGCTAGTTTTGTGCGTGTTCTCTATTCGCGTAAAAAACGAAAGAAGGAAGAACGAGCACAAAGAAGAAGAAGAAAAAACGATAGAGTCACGGGAAGAGATGAGTATGAAAAACGGTATCACAGTGTAAGATCACAAACTAGGGTACTACTGAATGAGATAAACATTGCCAAGACAATCGCCAACCACAACACCTCTTTCCACGCTCGCATCTTGCTGATGGGTGCTTCGATGGAAAACTGTCCGAGCCAGTCTTCTTTTTCTTCTTCCTTCTCATCGTCGCTTGATACGAGACGATGAATTTGAATGACATTGTCTTGACCACTGGTGAAGAGAAATTCGTTGTTCAACGTGCAGATAGCCGTGATAGATCTTTCTTTAGGTGAAAGACGCCTCTTCTTCCACGAGGAGACGTCATCGAGGAGATTGGCCGTGTCGAATAGAATTCCTTTGACGGTGGCTGGATAAAAGTGACTGTTGTTTACAACATCAAGCGCCGAGATCCACTCATCTTTGATCGAAAAAGCGAAGATGAGCTCGATTTGCTTGGCATAGGATGTGAGAAGTTTGTTCTCAGTGGCAGCGATGAGAGAAAGATCAAAGGAGTGTAGATGAGCTTCGTTAGCCGAGTCAAGCGCCAGAATGCAATGGCCATGTTAGTTGAGCGAAGGAACGAAAGCAAGAGGCCACTCGCAGCTCGCCGTTCTGTAGTACTTGAGTTGCTGAAGTGTTTGAGTCGAGTAAACAAAGAAGGGGTGAGTACCCAATGAGGAAGATTCGCCCATGACGAAGTAGGGCATGGAGAAATGACCACGCACGAAGGATATTGCTCCGTTTACTTTTGACTCAGTGCTCATCCTCTTCAATGCGTTGCGGTCGCATATCATTGGCTCTCCTCTTTTACATTTAAGTACTTTGAGAAAGAGCGTCGTGCAAAAAATCGTCTTGTTTAAGTAGTTATCATCGGATGTATTCAGTATGCTCGCATTATTTCAATTAAACTGTCGCTCACACACTCAACTCGATATTCGATCATGGGGTGTATTCGATTTTTCCAAAAATGCCTGACTCTCGACGAAAAATTTCACAAAAGGTGACAGACTTCTCATGTTCATTGCAAATTAAATGGAACTTAAAAATGTGTATTTGTCGACGAAATTTCAACTTATTTATTCATTGAGTTCAAATAGAAAATCAGCGGATATATTATTGTAGCTTAAAACAATTGCATTTAAGACGAAGTCTAGAAAGTTGCGAGATATTAACATTCACAATTTAGAAAGAAAAACCTAGTGCTTTACTGAAAGAAGCCTGTTCGGTGTCAAAGTTTGCGTTGATGAGTTTTTTTCCAAAAAAATTATTTAAGCATGCACACAAAATTTACTTTTGTATCTAAACTTTCGAATAGCAGGGTCATATTTCTTAATTAAATGAGCGATCCATCTGCGCCAAGGTCACCCAGATCCTGATAATGGTGCCATAAGGGTGTGGGTGTGGGTATATGTCTCCTTTTTTGAAAACACCCACATCCAAATTCACACCCACACCCTGTAGAGAATTCGACACGGAATCTTTCTTTAAAAAAAACTTTTTTTCTAAGCTGAATTATAGGTGAGAAATATGCAAAATACTGAGAGGATCATTTATTATGGGACACCCGTTAGTATTGATGATTGATTAATTGTTGATATAATATATGTTGCATAAAACAACAATGCTGTTCTACATTGCAGTTTATCTCACTAGTTTTTGGTGCAAGATATGAGAATGCAAATTTTAGATCATTAAATGGCTAAATAGACCACAAATGATTATATTGTAGTCTATTCAAACTATTTAAAGTAAAGATAACAAATCATTCATCGAAATTGCAGCTCTAACTATTATACAGTTATTTTTCAGTCATTGGTCGACAAAGATTGTATTTTTTGTCTTGTCTGTATAGAGAAATGCATACAGAAAACAGTTAGAAAGACTTGAACTATTCCTCATTTTATTATAGCAATTCTAT